CATACAGTTTGCTCAAAATACCCGTCTTTCACTGTGTGATTTATTTTCCGGCAATGCACCGGGGATCCTTTACGCGGAGTTGTCATGGTAAAGTCCATGCCATCCACTGTCGCCACAGCAAAAGATTCGTGGCTACCACCGCCCGGTTTCTATTCCTTTTCGCGCAGTACTCGCTCGCTCTCTGTGTTAATCGAGCCACGTTCTACGGTTTCCAGTACCATGATGTCCTCACTGGGCAACTCAATTGATTCAGCCACGACATCGGGACCGAAGAGGTGCGTCGTTTCCTGTGCGGTGTCTCGCGACTGCGCCATGGGGTATAATCGAACTACCTTGGAGCTCGTCCCCACAAGAACCAATGCGTAGCATAAGAACGCCAGGCCCTACGCCTTGCAACTTGGTTTCTACGTCTGCATCATCAGGTTGCCAGCAAGGGTCAGCATTGCACTGAAATCCTTTATTCGATAGGGGAGCGCCCTCAGCTACGTCGTTAATCTCCACGGCCTGTGTTGCCGCTTCTCCAACCTTTTTCTCTGTCTCGACTTTCGACTCGGCGTCCTATATCTTTGCCAAATTTAGCCTTGCTTCAAGCACCCAGCGGCGTTGTTCTGCGAACCCGAGATGGAGCTCCTTTTGCCATGTTGCCAAGGTCCAATGCCAGCACACAAGTAAAATTATTTTCTCCGTTTTTCCAGACTAGCAGCAAAAGATGTTGAAGATTGTGTTGTGACTTGATGAATATTTAAACTATTCCATGCACAGTTTAAACTATTCCAAGCACAGTTCTAGGGAAAAAGAATATTTGAAGCAGTTATTGCGGGTACGGAAGGGAGTTATTGTGCAATGATGGCGTTGTCTAGTGGCGTAACATGAAGAAATCGAAATAATTTTTCTATTATTTATCTTGTAATGGTCATTAATTATTAGATACAAATATTTGAATTGGGATATATGGTTTCTTTCTGAAAGTGAAGGTAAGTCAGCTCTAACTAACAGTTCATTAAGAGAGGTTTGTTCATAACTGTTCTATATGAAGCAATGGCTCTTCTTTTTATTTTTGCGACTTCATGAATGTTATTTCAAGTTAACGGATCCCAGATAACCACAGTATAATCAGGTATGGGGGAGAATTTGTAAGCAAGAACATGGACAGATAGAGGGGAGACTTCGAAAGTCCTTCGTAAAAAGAACAGTTTCTGATTAGCCTTTGAAGTTACTATGTCAAGGTGTTTTGTCCACTTAAGGTAGTTTGTTATCCATAACCCAAGATACTTGTAGGCTTGATCTTTTAAAAAAATGACATTGTTTGCAAAGTATTGAAAATTTAATTTTTTTTTCATGAGAAATAGACAGGTACACTGTTTTTTTTTTCAAAATTCATTCACATTTGTCAAGCCTCGCAGCAGGAAACAACCTTGTTAAACGACTCGTTGAACAAAACTTGGTCATTTGAGGATTCCATTTGAGACTAAATAACGCAATCCTCCTAGTAGAGCCTAATAATTATAAGGATACCATTTACTATGTCGTTAGTATATAAAGTAAATAGAAGAGGACTCAGAACGGACCGTTGGGAGGCGCCAGAGACAACAGAAAGGCAGTGAGAGAAATAATTATGCAAAACTACAAATTATTCTTTGTTTCTCGAGTATCCCTATATTCAGTTATTAGGTTGATCATTCCGAAAATTTTTTCTAGTTTGTATAATACTTTATAGTGTGAAACCTTGTCAAAAGCTTTTGAAAAATTTGTTAAAATTCCATCTGTTTGTTTTCAATTTTAATTGAAGTAGCGAAGTCATGTATTGTTGAGTCTAAGTGTATCGTTATTGAAAATCCCTTCCTGAATCCATGCTGATGTTAGTTCAAGAGATAATGTTTGTTCATAAAATGTGAAATAATATTGTGGATAATGTGTTCCAGAAGCTCGCAAACGGTTGAAGTTAGCAATACGGGGCGAGAACTTTTGACACTCTGCTTGTTGCCGGATTTATGGATAAGCTTGACTCTAGCTGTTTTCCAATCGTCTGGAACCTGGCCTTTTGCCGTGATTTCACTACTTTCCTACGCACGGGGCTTTCCTACACACAGAAAGAGGAGGGGAGCCGGAGCAAAGTTTGTAGTGCCTTCTTTCGGGCTCCTTGCGATGGAGAACATTATCGGGTACTGGGTAGTCCCGTCATTTACACACCTAAAGTGTTCTTGCACCATGGTAGAGCGTAAGAACAAGCCCCGGGCGCATTTAGTTTTTGCTTGTTTTTTTGTTTCGTCTCGAGCGCCCGTGACAAATCGCTTGGTAGGGGGATTTCATGCTGCTGTTTGAAGGCGGTGGTGTGCGCCTGATTAAGCGCTCGTTTTATATAAAAAGAAGTGCTCTGTTACAAAATATACGCATCCTCATACTCTTCTCGACACAGTAGATCACAAGAGAATGCAGTACTTCCAAGTAGCGTCTCTTTATGCATTCGAGCTGCTCAGCGGCACACAATAGCTTCGTGGCGTCACACCGCTCAAAACCGTCTGCCACGCACGAGCACACCTAAGAATCGTACTGAAACACAAGAAACTTGATGCAAAGAACCCCTCCCCCCCCCCACATGATCGCACACAAAAAGCATGAGAAAGCACACGGAAAGGAAAACAGACATGCACAAATTCTCACGCAACTACATTGAAAGAAACAGTGTCTGCCACTTGATCTGTGGAGTGTCAGCACTCTCAGCAAACAAGCGACCGAAGCTGTCAATTCTGCTAAGACGCGCTCGCGAAGCGACCCCACCGGCCGCACTTTCTTTTTTACTTGGCGGTCGTGTCCCTGGTGTGCCTAACGAAATGATGTATCCAAAGCACGTTAAAGATAATTCGATATACAGTCCTTCAGGTATACTTCAGCCATCATTTCTGGAAGAACTTTAACAATTTCATCTCCTCTTTTTAATCGTGTGAAGGTGCTAAAATGTTTTAATTTGAAGCCCTTGTGGTAATGGTGACGTTCTTCCGATATTTTGAACGCTTTAGGTTGGTTAAAAGATGGTTTAAAGTTTTGACGACAACTGAAAAAGGTCAATTAGGTGTCCTTTGCGGCCAAGATATTAAATTCTCTGCAACATGTACAGCCGCGGCCACGTCTATGTTGAGCACGCGAAAAGCTGTTCTTTGCTCTGTGGAGCAACACCTTGGGGCAGTATAGGGCTATGACGTGGTAAGCCTGACAACAAGGCTGATCTTGCTCCTGATACACCCCTTCAGAGCCCGAAACTGCTGCAAGGTTTCGGCCCGCAGAGAATAAACCGGCTGCTCGAGCGCTCTACACAGATGTAGACGCAACTGTTCACCTAGAGTACATACTTTATCATGCACACCAGTGATAGTGATCACGCATCGGTCATTACCTGAAACATCTTAAAAACAGCTTAGATGATGAATAGCTCAAATATGTCGATAATTATTTTAATATCCTGTGTAATAACTATCAGAAGCCAAGCACAACGCCTTAATACTATATTGAAGGCCATGTACTGCATTATATTCTTCTGCCTGGGAGAAAGAAGCTGTTCTATATAACCTGCCCTTTGATAGTCCAAGGGGGAAGATACTGTTCCGTAAAAGAAGCTGTACAGCCTATTTTCGACGTTCCATGCAGCAGTATTACTAAATGAAGTAAAAGGAAGTTGTATGACGTGCTGTACTCACTGCCGAAAATCCCCCACTGAAAGCTCGCACTGGCATGCTGAGGAGTGGAGGTGAAGCAAGGGCAGGCTATGTAAACCGTTGTCGTTGTTCAGTTCAAATATTTTTTTTTCCCTGAAACAAAATCCACTTTTTCAAAATTTTCTGCTTATCTTGCTTACATACTATACTATGCAACAATATTGAAGCCCTATTTTTACTTTTAGTACGACATTGCGAAAAGGGAGCCGCAATATGAGTCAAAATACTGTTTTTCTGAACTTTGCCGCAATATTCCGGCATTATTTTTGCGTCATGTGCTCTTGAAGTATCCTAATCAAGTATTACAGGAGCATAAAAAGCAGTAATTGTGAAATTCTTGCTGGGAAAAATTTGTGGTTTTTATAAAACATGCTAAACATAAAACACATTGCAATTTTTCACCAAAGCGAAATATAAAGAAAATTAAAACACAAGTGATTAAAAACTATCAGTCAGGAAAGTGTAGCGCCTTGATAAAAATGAAAGAAAAATTATTTCGCTCAATTCACTCAGACAGTAATACTATATGTACTATTCGGCGTGACACAGTTTCACTTGGGTGCCCAAAATTTGAAGCGCCCTCTAGGCAACACAAATTTTTTTGCGAAATATAACGCCTCCATAACTACTTCTCACATTCACATACATCTGTGCAATTTTTCGCAGCATGATCGCAGATGGTGGAGAATCAACTGGGTGCACTTGATATAGGATAACACACAAATATATATATATATATATATATATATATATATATATATATATATATATATATATATATATATATATATATATATATATATATATATATATATATATATATATATATATATAAAGAAAGAGAGAGAGAGAGGCTGGGAGGGAGAGTAAGCGAGAGAGAGAAATCATGAGCCGACAGAAAAACAGAAACTGTGCTTTAGGTATGGCAAAAAAATGCGAAGCTGCCTCACTATTTTTCATTTTTACGTGATCGAACATATAATCTATTTAAAACGCCATATAGATATTCTTGGCGTGTTCATTTAGTTGTGAGTGTATAAAAGTACCGAAGAATCAGTACTTATTGTGATTTTGTAAGCGCAACAACCACCGACCCATATGTTTTCAAGTTCATTGATGTCCTTACTCAGTGGTTCGAAGACAATCGTTGCTATCGCAGACACTGGATTTGATATGGCTTAATTTAACAGCCTCTCTAGACTATTGGATCTTTTATTAATGCCATCTGTGAGTTATAAAGGGTTTTACTTGCGCAGTGCTTCTTTTTTTACTATCTTCCCTCTATTTCAGGCTGCGAAATTCAAGAGCCTTATCACTAAGCCGAGTCTGCCTGCTTTTCGGCTGGGCTTGTGCTTTATCGATGCTTGCAAAGAAAGAGACCTGACGAACATGGGCCGTGCCAGTAAGTTTTTCGTCATTTTCAACCAATGGAGTTATGAAACACCCATATAAATTCATAAGGGGATATTCAACGCCTCTTTATTATCAACTAAACGTCTAGCCTGCATCATGTGCTCTGTGGCACGCCCGGGCCATTCTAGAGAAACCCAACATTCTGTGAACGCAAAGCAATTTCTATCGCTTTATTCGGCTATAACTGGGGCGTGAATGTTCACAGTCAAATAATATATACGTTTATTACAAAGAAGAAGAACAAAACAGCCGGCTGGGTTCCTTCCTAAATTGGGAAAATCGGGCCAAGTGGGGCTTGACACGCGCATGCCTGACAGACAACCTTTAAATGTGAAGCATTTATTGCGTACTCCAAGCACTTATAGCATCTATCTATCTATCTATCTATCTATCTATCTATCTATCTATCTATCTATCTATCTATCTATCTATCTATCTATCTATCTATCTATCTATCTATCTATCTATCTATCTATCTATCTATCTATCTATCTATCTATCTATCTATCTATCTATCTATCTATCTATCTATCTATCTATGCGCCTACGTCTGGGTCTCTTGGAATCACTTCTGTCATTTGGCGCAAACGAAATTTGGTATGGGCGTGTAAGAAGGATTGACCCATATGAAAGGCTGGTCATGACGTGAATAACGTGAAAAATTTTGCCGCGTAGACCGTCAAACAATTTACGCCAGACACGCCTGGAACATATCCGTATACCACGGGTGGGTCGATGCCACAGGTATGCGAAAATGTGTCACACGTGATTTACAGGTTATATCTACTTACAGTAACACAGGAAAGGCTAGAAAAAACGTTGGTACTTTCAATTCAAGAGCGCCAAGAAAAAGCTAACACCCGCAGCGTCGACCTCACCAATGCCAAAATATACCACGCCTTATCCATTTTATGAATGATGGCAAGTAGACAAAGCTCTAGAGGGTGAGATCATCGGTACACCATAACTCTCCTTTCAAATTTAGCCCATTACATCATTGTGAATACGTAAGGCTGCGTATACTTTAGAAATCAACTTTTATTTGGGTTATTCGCAGCCGCTCGCAAACGCAGCTGCGGAATGCCTACACATACGGCACCAACTGTTGCCGACAGGCGACGACCGTGCTGGCTCTCCGTGAAAGTTAGCTTACTACAGCAATAGAGAGACGTAATACTGTGCGTATGTTATGTAAACCAACTTTTATTTTGTTCTTGTTTGGAAAGGCGCTTTATGGTTGTTGAAGTGGTGAATCGGTGATGGGGCATAGTGATATGTTTACATGAACAAAGTAGCGTGCACTTTTCAAAAGATATTACGAGCCAGTCAGAAAGAAAGGACAGACTTACGGATTTAAGAGCTTCGTCCCTAAAAAATAAAAGGCAGGGTCCCAGCAGGAATCGAACCGAAGCATTCTGCGTGGCACTCAGGTATTCTTCCACGGAGCCACGCCTGGTCTCCGAAGTGCTTTGCAAATAGACCTTAATGCCATATGGAATGTCAATTGTGGTAAACAGTGCTGGTCATAGTTACGACCAGTGCCTAGGCCGACGAGGGAGCGGCGTTCTTTCTTAGTCATAGAAGTCACCTGAGGGCTGGTGGGCTTACGTTTACCATGCATTGTCTATCAGCCTGAATGCAAGGCGCCGTGCCATCAGATACCGTAAACAGTTCCCTGAAATCACTGCAATGGTTTCTGTGGACGCAACATCATCCCTGGAAGAGACATTGGCGTCAGCTTCAACGACAACTCATTCGGCTTATTGAGCAAGTAGTTCGGCGGACCTTTTTGGGCTTTGTTTAAGCAGCCCATTTTGATGAATCCTCTCGTCGAAGCGCGGGACCACCCACCCAGCGGCACTTTCACGACTAAGAGCCACGTTCGTGCCACATTGCAGGGCAGTGACCACGCCTCACTACTCGTTGTTAACCATGGCGGGTGTGGGCGTCACCCTCGGAAGATGTATGTGACATGTTATTGGACCGTGAAATCTGCCTCCATTCCCCGATCTAGAATTCTGGAGGGAACTTACTCTATATATTGAGCCACCCAGATAATTCGAGAAAGCTCGCCATGTACAGAATGGAAATAAACTCTCCTCTGAAGTCACCGGTGCTACAAAGGCCTGTCTCAACAACTGGATGGCAGGCGTTGGGATATGACTCAGAGACGGAGAGCGACATAGACCAGAGATCAGTCGAAAGCCTCTGGCCTAGAATTTGGCTGGATTGAAGCGGTGTAGTGCGACTGCAGGTAATAAGGTGAGTGGCTGGCTTTATGCTTGAGATATATCGATTCCTTAGCCTAGACCCGTTAAAACGTAGATATAATCCACAACTCCTAGACGCTGTGTCTAGTATGCCAGCAGAGAGAAGCACTCGGCGATTATCTGAGCAAACTAAGATAAGCAGGAAAAGTCAGATAATTCGGTAGAAACACATGTCTGTTTTGTGGTTGTTCCAAGCTCTATTGCTAAAACCGCGTCCTCAGCAGGATGCCAGTATGTTTTTTGGCACTAGTACACCCTGGAAACACTGGTACACGCCAGTATTTACAGTTACTTCGCTAGACGCACTGGGAAATGGTTAGGTCTCACTGCTAAAGGCACTGGAATTTTCACTGGAGTGTGCTGGTGCATACGGGAGCACGCGCTGTTACTATCAACGTCACGTGCACGTTTATGTAGCGTGTGCAGTGGTATGTTATGGTATCGTTGAATATAAAATGCTTAATTCGACGGCACGAATATATGTTACCTTAACATATCCCGAGAATGCCTCGCCACTTCGGATATCACACATTGTCACATCATGACCCTGGCCTGTAATATGCGAAATTACTATTATTTTTAATGTATTCCTTTAGAATAAGGAGCGAAATCCGTTAATAACTTAAAGTGGACAACACTAAATATTTTGTTTACAGGACGCTTTATTTTTATAATTCACGCAAGGTTAGTAACAGCGTTAATTTTTGCGGTGCACGTGTACTGCAACAAAGAGTGCACTTTTTGCATGTCTTGCGGACATTGCATATACACCAATTTCGCATTAGTGATGTATGGTTGCAATCATTCCGTATAGCAGTGTTTAAAATGAGAAGCTAGCCGCCACGCCTAACAGAAGCAGCAAATTGTTTGTGCTGTAAAGTTGACGACACGTAAATGACCTCTCTCGACGCTTCACAAGCTTTCCCAGCGGAAGCGCCAAAAAACAGCTGTCGTTAGATATCGCCACTCCAGAAATGCATGTCGGGTAAAGCTTGCCCTTCTACTTACTTCAGGTAACAGTTAGAAACGTCCCGAAGCTAAATGCAGAAACTTCAAGCATCGCAACTCAGCTGCTCCCAGGGCAGTCTTACCCAGAGCCCCGTCAAGGAGCATTAGTCCTATTGTGCTGGCTACATCGATTTACATGTTACAGGAGCTTCTTGCTTCTAGTAAACACTAATCTAAAGAGTAAAAACAACTGTAACGTATAGTTTAGACGTCCGTAAATCAATATAATTTAAAATCAACCATTTTTATTTGTGCGTGGTGCCTGCACATGGAGCGACTACGATTATAGCGTCATGCTTTTAGGGACGCAGGTAGTCACCGAAAGCTGCCGGGCGTAGTAGCCGGTACTTCTCAGACCTGTATGTAAGAACACGCGATTTTCAGTCGGCAATTTGGTACGCCTCAGTGAACTAACACACTGTCTTACTTTTTGCGCAGATCACATTAGTATTTTCTTGGGTGCTATTTCAGTTGTATGTATCAATATAAATGCCCATCTGTACACTGGCACGCCCGCTGTATTGCCTGCGGAGGCCAGAAAAACAGCTGTCACTCGATACCGCCCCACCAGAAATCCATTTCTGGCAGTGCTTGCCCTTCTACTTACTTCAGGTACAGTTAGAAATGTCGCGAAGCTCAAATTCAGAAACTTCAAGCATCGCAACTGAGTTGCACAGAGCGGTGCCTTACCCAGGGCCCGGTTCCAGCGAGCATTAGGCTTATCGTCCCGGCAGCGTTGGTGTACAGTGTAAATTTTTAAGGAAGGGAGCACGGCGACAAGTGCGTGGCTTGCGCGCTCCGGTGGCTGCTGGCAGCGCATTCAAATGAGAGCGATAGCAACCCCCGCCTCTTTTCGCGTAATCCCACGGTGAGCAAAACAACCATTCGTTGCTGATATAAAACGGCAAGCTTGCAACCTGTCCCCCTTAAAGACAATTACCGGCTCTCGGGTAATCACCTTGAAAGGGGGGGGGTTGCAATCATGCCGCTGGTTCTAGATCAGCAACGAACGGTTGTTTTGCTCACCATGAGTTGACGCGACAAGAAAGTGTGGTTGCTCTCGCTCCCGCTCGAACGCGCTGCCAGCAGCCGCTGGAGTGCGCAGGTGACGCGCTCCCATGTTTCCTTTCATAAAATTCACACTGTACATGCTACCAACGCTTCTTGCTTAAGTACGCACAGTTCAAAAGTGCAACGATTACTGTGTTATACAGTTTAGACACGCTCTTATGAATATTGCAACGTCCTGTAAGTGTATACTGTATGGTTCCCCACGGCAACATGAGGACGCAACCAGAAAGTTTCCTAACTGTCGCGATTTGGCCACCGCTCTTATGTTGCCTCAAGGGGTCATCCTGTGTGTTTTCTATCTGCGACCATCTTGTATGACTCCCAAATGTTACGATTCGGCCGCCGCTTTTTTGTCGCCTCGATGTCTCTGTCCTGGATGTGTCCTGTACGTAGCCACCTGTTATGCAGACCAGATATTAGGTTCATTGGACTGTCTGCATGGTGCGGAATAATATGGCTGCTGTACTTGAAATGTACATGAACATGTATACAAAACTTTGCAAAAACATTGATTTATGATTCCTTATACAACAGTTTAGAGCATTTTGCAGACAATATTTAAACAGGTACTGTACATTTGTCGGTGGCTGAAAAAAATAATATTAATAGATCCGCTACCAATAAAAGTTTTTCATCCATC